TAACTGCTCTGAATACTAGAAATTTATACAATAATTTATTTGACTACATTTTTGTGTGCACACAATAATTATTAATCTTCAAATACCATATGAATCTAATAATGAATAACTAATTACTGGTAAATTGATATCGGAGTGATTAATGGACTAATAACAATTAAAAAGGCATGAACCAATGATTGAATTAGTCAGCTGGACTGAAAGCTCATATTATTTTTTAATATCTACATAAATTCTAGATTTTTTTAACAAATTTGTATTGAACTCAAATAAAAACAAGATTTTGTACAGATTCTTATAGATACATAAATTAAAACTAACACTAAAAATCAAACATTGGAAAAAGTATGACTTAAAACTACAAACTAAAAATAAAAATTACAATGCAGTCATTCTATTGGAGTAAACTTAAAAAAAAATTAGGTTGTGGCTGGAGGCTTTGGTATTACTGATTAGTCCTAAGACCATGCAGAAGGAATTCATATATCTGGTTAAAATCTAAGAATAAATATAATAATTATTAAATACAGTTTTCTTTCTTAACCCATAGAGAGAACAAATGATTTTTTATATTTTTTTTATAAAAGTCTTGAATCTAGATTAATTAAGCAGCCTAACATATATTAACGTACAAAGAAACACAAGCCATTTAAAGGCTGTGTCTAAAAATGTAGATCTACACACAACCTGTTGAATGAAAACACAAATCTGGTATTTATAATTTTTTTAGATTTCTATTGATACAACTTTATTTTGTAGTCTTTCTCTTTTTGACCTGAAGGAAACCACAATGCAGTCAAATACTGAAAATTACTGTGTATTGGTGAAAAATATATTATGTGGTCTTTAATGATTTTTGCTCCCGAGTATTCCGATAGGAGCGGCAATCTTTTTTTGTAGACAATTCAAATGAGGATTCTCAAAACAAAATTTCATCAAAAAAAGTACCAGGGTTGGAAAAAAACAAAGAAATAAAAAATATAAAAGTAGGTTTTTAGGTTATTTAGTTTTCTAAGGTTTTATGTTTTTTAAGTTTTTAGTTCATGTATGTTGAAAGTTATTATTAATAAAGTTAAACAAAAAAATACAAGCAGTACAAAAAAAATAGACTTTTATTATATTATTATATTAAAATCACATTCTGCAAACAAAAAAAAACTGAAACGTGAAAAATAAATAAATGGTATTTTTTTTAATTGTCACTATCATTAAGAGTTATTGCTCTGGACGCTTGAATTTCGTTTCAGGGGAAATTTGCAGTAGGTATCTCCTCCAATACTCCCACCTCAAAAGATAGAAACCCTTGTCAGACATTCATTCAATTGCATCCCTAACTACCCTATGGGACACCCATAGACAAATATTGTTTTGGGATGGACTCAGTATAATTTGAAAGACTCGATACGCCCCAGTGTATTGTGTTAGTGTTATTAAAAATTTGTATTTTAAACATTGTGGAGATATTAAAAGCTTGGGAAGAAGAAAGGATTCTTATGTTAAGAGAAAGAATTTTAAAACCACGGGCCTTAATTTAAATAGGGTTAAAGTAAAAACTTTTATTCAGTCTATTTTAGATGGTATTTTAGGTAAGAAACTAAATTAAGTACATATAAAATATTTTTCCGAAGTTCCTATTACTTTCGTATTAATGAGAATTGATTTTTAAAATATTTAAAGACTAAATTTGAATCCGAAATAATTATTTTCAATTCTTGAGTAATTTGGATCATGAATTTTTGGTAAATTACTAAGTGTTTCTTTTTTCTTTTCTTTAAGATCATGATGAATTTTCTACAACATCAAATATAATTTTGGAAAAGGTAAATAAAACATGTTACGTTGTATTTACATTGCCTGCATTATATAAATGATTAAATGAATTTATTTAATTATTTTTAGGAAAATTTACAAAATTCTTCAAAAAAAGAGCAAGAAAATAATGTAAAGGACTTTTTTATGGTATGACATTTTTTTGTATACCTATTCTACATGTATTTATTTATACAGGGTGGCTCACGCTCAACGGAACGGAGCTTTATGGGAAAACGACCAAAGATATAAAAAATTCGTTTGGGAGGAATACGTAGGTTACAGACGGCTACAATTTAAAATTTGTTAGATGTATACAGGATGTCCCACATAAGAGAAAATATACAAAGTTATATTATTTTTAATGGAACACCCTGTTTTTTATTTTAGAATTAAAAACTACATCAAAAATAATATCAGTTAACTAAAGGTTCCCTATTACTATTATTATTAGTTTTCGATTTATTTGAATTTTTAAGGAAAAAAAGTCTCCCAGAACTTAATTGTTTACTCTTGTTTGAATAATTTTTAATGAACTAATTTTTTTTTTTTACCAGAACTGGTAGATCCAAGACACGTAAGAGGGATGCCATTAAGGGAACCAGCTTATATTTTAGAAGCAATCGCAAACAAAAACAAAATGGATTCAAAAATAAAACAAAACTAGTTTGTTTTTAATTTATTAACGTCTGTTTAAAATGTGGTGTAACTCTTTTTCTTCCTTATATCATTTCCAAAAGTATTTTAAGTTTGGACAAGCCCTTGATAGATTTCGTATTTCTTATTAAAATTTGATAAAGATTTCTTCATTTTTTTTAAATAAACATTCATGAAGTACCCTTTAGCTTTTTATTAAAAACGTTTACATGATGGTTCCATCATTTAAAAAAAAAAAGTTAATAAAATATATTTATTTTTGTGACTTCTAGAATTAAAACAATTTGCTCGAAATTCACACATTTCGATTGTAATAGTAAACAGTGCAACAGCTCTTAACTAATTAACAATATTTCCTTTTAACAAACTGTGTAGGTATTTAGGAATGTACCTAATAATTATTATTTTTACCTAAATGAATGTAAAGAACCATTAATGGCATTGTTAATGATTGGTGAGTCCAGCACTGATAAAAATTGAAATACGCCTTACAAGACTCCAGCAGTGCTTTGCACTAGTCGACTGAGAATGAGTCACGGCGAGCGATGCGTCAATGAAAATGCAATCGTGGAGAGAAGGGAGTCAAAATATTCAGTTTTATAGGTATTTCTGGAAATAACAACTTTCTGTATTTATATGATTACATCTTTATTTCAAATCCAATTTTAATTATTATTTTTTTATTCTCTTGAGAAAAGATGAATCTACATTTACATCGTTGTATTTGAAAAACAATGTATTTTTAATATAATAATTTTTCTGGTAAAGTTAGGTTCTTTTTAACAATTTTATTGAACTTATAGATTTTAATCAAAAGCGTCTGTAGGATGATAGTCCAAGCCTTTATCTTTTTGCAAAAAAAAATTAATAAAATATATTCATTATTGTGCCATCTAGAATAAAAATCAAATACTCGAAATTCACACATTTTGATTGCATTTGTGAGCAGCGCAATAGCTCTTAATATCAATATCAAGAAAACTTATTTTTGCAAGCTTTCTCCCGAAAGTTGATTAGTAAAATTCGAGGTAAAATTGTAAATTCTTAATATGTATCTTATAAAAACCTATTATTACAGAATTTTCACTTTTAGGTTTTTTTTTCAAGGGTTTTTTAAAAAACCTAAAATATCTAGGTGCAACAAAGCCTGCACCAGCCAACCCTTTCAAGTACTTAATAATATTAGTAATATTGCTCTCCCTAATTCACCCCCTTACGAGTGAATTTTAACACCAAAAGCTGAGCTTGTCCAGGGAATGGAATGGCTATTATTATATTTGCCATAGCGCTCCGAAGCGACATAAAGATGATTGATGATGCCATTTGACTTATAGGTAAGGAAACCCCAGAAAACTCTACACACCATCATCGAAATGGAAAAGCATGGCGATTTTTATAATCTGGATGTCATATCAACAGAAATTAAATTTCTGCTAATACGGCAACCATCAAATCCTATAGAGATCTTCTGTAGGATTTGAAGCCAGTGTGTCTCTTACCACAAAATTGCTCGCACCGTAGACATCTATGCTACCGTTCAGTTCCTTAGTTAACTTAGGGTATTTCAATGTATGGATTTGATCCATTGATGCCACATGCTTTTGCTTTGTAATATACATAAATGTAAATTTGTCTACATTAAGACTATTAAGAGTAAGTTTATTACTGCAACCATCCTGAGAGCATCTGCAGATCACTCCTGATGTGTTGTTATATCCAAATCTTATGCCTTGGTTATAAAACCAAAATAGGTCTCTTAACCATTTAATTATGAGAGGAAGAATATAAGAACTTATATTGCATACTTCATTTATTTTTTCTTATTTACAAGACAGAAAACAAACTTCCAAATAGTAAGTATACCAAAATATAAAAAAAGAACAATAAAAAGCTTTTTGTACCTACCTAATTAGTTCCATTTGAAAATATCAGAGTTCTATAAACAAATTATAATAATTAATGTGTTTGACATTGAAATGCTTTGTTTTTGATTACTTAATATTGCAATGTGTTTTAACATTATTTACAAAATGTTCAATATAAATTGATCAACATAGTTTTTTTAGTTAGATTTTAATTTAAGAATATCCACACAAGGCAATTCACTATTGTATTCAGTCTTTTCAAAAAGTTATGAGATACATCTGATTAAATACCTATTTTATTAAAAAAGCAGAAAAAGGTAACAAATGTTACCTATTTCTATATCAGATAAAAATAGATTCAACAAGTAGGAGCTCTTATCAGGGACACTTCTAAATAACCTTAATAAATAGTTTTTAATAACTTCATAAAATAATAGGCATTTCCAGTCGAGATAGTAGGTAATTATTTTTAAAGTAACTACTCCCGGTTGTCTTTTTAGTTTATATGAGTCACTTTTTATTACACTTTTGTAAAAAAAGTAAGATGATAACACAAAGGAATTCATTGCCCAAAGAAACTTTAAAACCCAAATCCTACAAAAGTAAAAGTATGATTTTTTTAAACAAACGTAATTATCTAGAGTATTACTCAACTGTAGTTAAACTTACCTCAAAAATCATCAACAAAGTCTTCACATACAGCCTTCTCACCCCAATAGACTTGCCGATAGATGCCAGGAATATAATGCAAACCAATAACATCAAAAAAGGAGTCAAAAGGATTGATCCTGTTATTGACACCACTGTTAGTAAAAGGGCCATTCTTGGTGTGTGTTAGAACAGGCGGTTTCTGTACCCGAAAACGAAATTATTTGATTAGCACTCGATTTCTCGATCACGAACTTCTCCACATCTTATCACAAATTAACTGAATTCGGAACTATGTCGTATGGTAAATATAAATGATTCAGGGACATGCGTTTACTTGCATTTGATTTGCACGTTTCTGACATGTGACTGACGTTCAGTGAAAACGTCGTGTGTCAACGTCAAAAAGGGTCAAAAGTCAAAAATATGGTGCAACTAAACGGAGGAACTGTACCTTGTATACAAGGAACGTACGAAAAGTTGAAAAATTCATATAAAGTAAAACCAACGACTGTAGTTTTTCGTCATTGAGTAGAACTCTCCTAGCCGGATTAATAAGAACTTTCATTAAACTTTACCAGCGTGGTAAAATTTTACAGATGTTTAGACTGAGTTTTTTTGTTTGTGTGAATCAGATTATATTCTCAATCTGTGTTAAAGTTTATCTTATCAGGTTCTTACAAGAAAGAGTATTAATCTCGTTATTTGTAACAGCATCATAGTGTCTACAAAAACTTAGGCTAGCGCCTATTATTATTAGGATATTATTAGGCAGAACTTCAGCTGCCGATCTTCAGCGGTGAACACGTTTGCTACAGACCAAATTTTATTTTCCTATAGATTCTTACAAGCTGTTAAATCGGTACATTGAGTAGAATATCGCTTAAAACACCTGACAATTGAATCTACCCATCAAGATCTGCAGAAGATTTTCGACGTCCGAACTTCTGCATATAATGTGACGCTAGCCGTAGAGTTGTATTAAAAATATTTTTTTCCGCCGACCGACCATTTATGGTGTATTTTAACGCACTCAAAATCGTTGATTAATGATCCCTATTAATGAATGATTTTCTATTAATCACCGATTTTATTATATGCAACCCAAAGTACATTGATCTTATTATGCATTTATATTGACAGTTACCTATGGTTTAGGCAACCAAACATACATATACATTTGAAATCCAAGAGGACTTAAATATACATTTATCAAAACATTTATCAATTACTTCATTTAATTTTAGTAAATGCACAATTTCTAATCTTAATATTTACAATAATAAAACTACCACTGGGGAAAATTGAACTAACTTTGACTAAAGTTAACATAAATAGAAAATAGAAATTGTTGTTTTTTGTTAAATAAATAAAAATTGAAAGGAAGATATCTTTATTTTGAAAATCTACGGTTGACGGAAAAGTTCTGTAACGAACTCGTGAATTAAAATGGCGATTAAGAACCTCGAATATTAACGCGCGAGTAGAGCGAGCTCGCCCTTAATAATACACTTGTTCATTAAATAACCATAAATGGCATAAATTCGTTATTTTTCTGGATGTGTTTTATTGCTTAAATAACACAGGCCTGCGTTTAACTACTCTGTAAAATGTGAATTGAACTTTTCAACTGAAATTGGGTAGGTATTTCAGTAACGTTGATTTCAAATCTGCTTTTAGTTTTTTTCTATTACGTAAGGTTTTTAAACAAAATACTACAAGAATGCAAAAAGTAAAAATATATTTATAGATACTTAGGATAAAAAATAAAATAATAAACCAAGAAAACAAACAATAAAACCGGGGAAATAGTTAAAAAATAACATACATTAATCCTTTGTTTCCTTGAAAAATCTTTCTCTCTTTCCGGAAAAGTTTCTTTTTGTTGTTTTTCGTGCATATTCTGCGCTAGGACAGTCCCTTTTAAGCATCCAACAGTAGTCGGCCATCATTTTGATATCCCAGCGCCCTTGATATCGCCGTTCCATCTCTTTTATGTCCTGGTGAAAGCGCTCCCTTTGCTCTTCACTGACATCGCCAAGATTATCCGGAAAATAGTCAAGATGAGCATGTAGAAAATGAATTTTTAAGCTTATGTTACAGCCTTTCCCGAATTACGTTTTTGGAGCCAGGCGTTAAATTTTTTCTTGGTGGCCAGTTTTTTTTGGTCTACTGTCCCACTCATATAGGAAACATGGGTATTTCGTATATCCGGATTGTTGACCTAAAAGTAACCCTAAAATTTTAAGGTCACCACATAGAATCCAGTTATGTTGTCTGTGGTTTATTCTTAAAAGCAGTACCTCCAAGAGTTTCGTAATTTTCTATTAACTGAGTAGAATGACCAACAGGAACAGATGCATATAAATTGCCATTATGAAGTAGAACAGCTTTAAGACTTCTCTTTGAAGAGTCTATAAAAAGTCTCCACTCGGCAGGATTGTATTCAGGAGCACCTAGGTGAATAACCAAGTCAGATACATTTTGACAATATACAAGTGAACCAGCTGCGGCAAAGTAATTGACAAATTCAGCCTCATGATTTCTATACCAATAAAATCTAGTACCTGGAGCAAGTAATTTTTTTTCTTTAAGCCTTGATCCTAAAACCTCAGAGAGATCTTTTGGAAGTCCCAAATCCCTGACTAAGTCATTCAGTTCTACTTGAGAAAACAGCTGCGGTTCACGAATACCTGAGGTAGTGGCTCAAAAATGTCAATTTCTGAATCTGTTGAAGATTCTGATTCGATAGACTGTAATACTTTAGGTGGAACAGGTACAGGTATATCAGCGTCATGTGGAACTGGTCTTATTGCAGACGAAAGATTAGGATAGTTAATATACTTTAGAGATTTTGTGTTATGACCTTTAATATCACAAAGGCAAAAATAGCAGTCGTCAATGTGATTTTTAGGTTCTCTCCAGACTATTAGTATTCCAAATGGTAGGGCTTTTCTTGTTCCTTTAAACCAATGCCTCAAGGCTTCTTCGCAAATCTTGCAGATAACATCTGGCGCCCAAGGTTTATCTTGATCTCCAAGTCTGACTTTAAAATATGCAAAATATGCATTTTTTACGAAATCAGTAATGTTTCTTTTAAATTTCTTCACTATAAAGTGTCCACAAATATAACAAAAGTCATCAGGCCTATTTTTACAACACCTACTAGACATTTTTTAATAGAAAGTGCACAACGAAACACCGATAGAATTCGATAGGCAACGCCTATCTCAATACCACTCAATACCACGGGGATACTAAATATATCGCCCTCTTTCCTGAATAAATCGAGTCTCGGGGAATCCCCAACAATATTCTAGTAAAAGTACCGGTAAATCCCCCTACAAATGCGCAAATTAAAAAAATAAAGTGGCTAGATCACAAAATGGTATGTGGATTTTCATCTGCGTAAAAATGTTCTTTATGTGCGTTTGTTATACCACGTCGTGTAAAGCATGACTCGTCTGTTGGCCTGTAAAAATTTTTCTGGATCGGCCGCTCTGCGCTCTTGAATAACTTGTAGAAAATGCAAACGAGACTCATAATCAGAAAGTAGGAGTTCCTGGACACTTTGAATGTGAACGGGACAAATAAGTTGTTCTCTAATTATTCTGTTGGATGTGCTTTTTGAAACCCTAGTTTGACGTACCAGTGGTTGGGTACTAATTTCGGGATTATGTTTAACTATTTTAAGTAGCAGGAGTTCCGGGCTTGACGAGGTCGTCCAGCATTATTTCTGTTCGGTTTCAGTTGACCAGTTTCTCGAAGTCACCTCTATAGAAGCAAAGGTATGGTTATTCGGAATCTGTCGATTTGGAAATCTTTCATGGTGTACCCGAACACTTTCTCGACAGTTGCCATTACATAAACCAAGCACTAGCAACATGTCAGTTTGTTCAATACTCGATACCAGCCACAAAATGTTTCAAATAACTCCTTCACAAGAACTTTGGAGCAAAACAAAAAAATGCAATACATAAAATGAGTGGTATCGACAATGTTAACTGTTATACACCATATCTGTCAAAATTATCAAATTTTTTATTAATAACGTTGACAACCGCCAACTTAGTAGTTTTCTTGAATATTTTGTTTGAATTGTTATTTTTCAGTCGGTACCTAAGCTTATTGATGATTTTTTTTTATTGCAATAACGTTAATAGCGACAGTGTTTGGGTTGCGTTAGTTATAACCGCCAACTTAGTTTTTTGAAAATTTTAAGACACTAACCATCGGTCCATAAATTTTTTTTTACTCAAATACCATGAGAGAATTTAGGGTGATTATTTTTTTCGACTATTTTTTTTATTTTCGCTCCCGTCCTGAAATTTTGTTGAAAATGTCCCAAAAAAAATTCCCTGAAAGTTTGAGCACTTAATATTAATATTAAGTCCTCGACCAAGGCGTGCAAAGATTTTCCATTTAAAATACACGTAAAATTAGGGTTTTTTTCTTCAGATTTCTATAGCTTAGCGGAATTTCATGGTATTATTTCGACCATAGACATGTATTTCTCCAAATTGACCGCTCTACATAAGTGTCTATTGCGGCGATGTCGTAACTCACACCGGCGAGGTAGTAAGGGTCACTAAATCATGAAATTCACGTTATTTCGACCCTATGTCATAATTGAGAAGAGTTACAGAAAAAATGTAAATAACAAAGTTGTAGGATATTTAATTTACTACAAAAAATGTCCTGACAACCAAATCGCTAAGATCAATATTTGTCGAGATTCGTTATATTAAGCCTTGAATTAATTTTACTGTAAAAATTTTGTCGATTATTGACTCAAACTTTTTGAAATCATGTTTTTTTTTTGTATTATTACACTTTTTGTTCAATATATTTTTTTAAAGTTAGAATACTAGAATATGATTAATATCTTACATCGTTAAAGCTCATATTTGAAGAATCTTTAACAAATAAAGGATTTACTGGTTCCTGCATAAAACATACAAATACAATTACTTTTATATAATTTATATATTACTAACATTTATTAAATTATAATAGTTTGAATCATATTAACAACAATAAATTATTTATGAAAATAGAAACAACAATACCAATAAATTATTATTGAAAGTAGAAAAATTAATCGTTACATTGATTCATTGTTAATATATTGTGATTTTTTACACGATGTGTATTGAGAGCGATGATGCTGAACAGTTTGAAAAAATTTTGTCTCTCAACTTCGTTATCAGTTAATGCTTCATTAAAACTTTCGGCTAGTGCTACTCCCCTTTCTGCAGTATCGTTAACCACTTTTAACATTTTAAATGTATCATAATACAAAAAAAACCAAGATTTCAAAAAGTTTCAGTCAATAATCGGCAAAAATTGAACAGTAAAATTAATTCAAGGCTTAACATCTCGAATCTCGACACATATTGATCTTAGCGATTTGGTTCTCAGGACATTTTTTGTAGTAAATTAAATATCCTACAACTTTGTCATTCACATTTTTTCTGTAACTCTTCTCATTTATGACATAGGGTCGAAATAACGTGAATTTTATGAAAAAATTCGATTTAGTGACCCGTACTACCTCGCCGGTGTGAGTTACGACATCGCCGCAATATAGACACTTTTGTAGAGCGTTTAATTTGCAGAAATACATGTCTATGGTCGAAATAATACCATAAAATGCCGCTAAGCTATATAAATCTGAAGAAAAAAACCCTAATTTTACGTGTATTTGAAATGGAAAATCTTTGCACGCCTTGGTCGAGGACTTAATATTAATATTAAGGTATCAAACTTTCAGGGAATTTTTTTTGGGGTATTTTCAACAAAATTTCAGGACGGGAGCAAATATAAAAAAAATAGTCGAAAAAAAAATCACCCTAAATTGAGAGATACATGTTTTTTTGCAAAAAAACAAAAATGCTACAAATAAATACAACTCTCCATAAAAATTGAGGGAACAGGGGCGGCCCTCAAAAAAAAATACGATGTCATTTACGGTAGGATTAGGGTGGTTTTTATCCTTCAATGAGTTCGGTTGGTGTAATTTTTGCTTTGAAAAATGGCTCTTCAATTAAACTAAAATTTTATAAAAATCGAATAAAGTTATCAAAAATTAAATTTTCTTTTAACTTTGAACTTCCTCACAGGCAAACGAAGCACTTTGTGATATACATAATTTTGGCTCAATTGACTTATTTTGATCCCACCAACATACAGTAGCTCTATGTACACGGAATTTTGGAACACCCTGTATGTGCTTTCAGAACATATCATTTGTATATGCATACATACATTCTTTACAAGTACGACACGGAAGTGGTAATTTTTAAATTTGTGTATACGTTGCAGAATATGATTATCACAAATATTTAGGTAGACTTCAAGGGCGGCTCCAGGGAGGGGGCCGTGGAGGCCGGATTTAAAATTCTTACAATTCATAAGCCTTTTATTAAAAAAATATGCCGAAAAGGAAGTGGCTAATGGCAATGGTCCCTTTCGAAAATTCGGCGTGGAGTCACCCTCGGTAGGTCTATGGATATTAAATCACGTTATATGCATGTAAATAAAAACAAGGTGACGAGGCGTGACATTTCCATATAGCCAATTTTGTACATATGCCATATGTTATTAAGGTTTATTTAGCATGTATTTATTCGAAAAAATTTGTCCATAAAATATGTGAAAATTTGTACTGCGATGAAACCTCACTTTAGTTTCAGCCGATGCATACTGTGCAATCTTGTGAATCAACAATCGACATCTATACGCGTGGGTTATTTCATTTTCTCTATTCGGTTTATCTTCGTATTATTTTATTTTTCCATGGCAGGAAACATTTTTTATCATTTGATATTACAATAAATAAGGTTGAGTAAGAAGATTATAAAGGAAGGTCCTTTATTTCCTCACAAAGTCAATTTATTGGCGACCGGTTTTGAAGTGATTATATCATAACTTCGAAACAGGTTGCCAATAAATTGACTTTGTGAGAAATGAAGGACCTGTCTTTAGAACCTTCGAACTCAATCCCAACCACTCACATATGACTACCCTCATTTATAATAAATAAGGTGTTATTGGAAAATTCGATAGGTAATGTTTAGAACATCCCTCGTAAAAACCTTCTAACTTTGCGCATGCCTATAATATGGAATAAGTTCCTCTTATTAGTCGTCTTTAAAAATAATCAAACATATTTTCATAATATTATCTTAACTTCATCTTGGATGTTTATTAATTTATGGATTTCGTTGCCTTTTCAGAATAAAAATAGATTTTTTTATTATATTATAGTATTCTAGTATATCTCCAATAAATGCCTAAATCAGTGTCACCAACATTTAAAAGAAAAGTTCAAAATTAGTAAATGTGTGTTTTGAATTGCCTATCCTTCAGGACTGAATTGTCAAAAAATTTATATAATTTTTCATTCTCCATTTTTCGACTTCTTCAGATATCACATAAATTTCCTTTTTTTTGTATCACAAATTCACAGTTAAAATGTCTGCTGCATTACAGGCTCCAGTACGTGTATCACCCTTAATCAAGGTAAGAAGCAGCAAATACAATTTTTCGTTTTATCTAAAATGATTTAAAAGTCTAGTTACATAACCATAACCTCAAAATATTTTTTATTTAATCGAAAATAGGTTCTTAGGTATTTAAAATAGTTTTATTATTTATTAATACAACCTCGTTATGTGAAATACATTTATATTAATCTATTTTAGTTCGGAAGATGGAGTTTCTTGGGATTGGGAGTGCTATATGGGGCCTTCCACAATAACAGACTCTCCAAGAAAGAGGCTGCGTTTAGAGAAGTAAACGATAAAATTAAAGCAGAACGGGACGCCAAAGTAGCGGCCGAGAAAATGGCAGCAGCCGAAAGAGAAATCAAGGAACTAGAAGCGATGGCCAGATAGATACATTTTGCCATCTATGTTTAGAGTAATACAGTGATTTTTTTTTGTTAAATAGTTTTTTTATTACTTACAGTAAAGTGAATAAATATAAAGTTTAGCCATACTGTGTAAAATTGATATTTACTGGGATTATGTCTGTAAAATTAATTTTCTATACCTGTCAACTACAACATTACCAGATATACTTACTGATGCTTATTTTTTAGTTTAATATAAGTAATGAATATGAGTTTTTAGGTATAAATTAGGTCTAAAAACTTCATTCTTGTTACAAAAGTTCATCTCATCATAGTCTATATTCTATTGTAATAATAGAAGCTGTGTTATGGTTATAAAAAACAATTTGGTTATAAAACAAAAAAATGTCTTTTTGGTATTATAATGTACATATTATAAAATTGTGCAGGCGAGTTCTGGGGTTACAGCTTCTCCACTTGACCTCTATAAATGAAAGTATGTCCCATTAAGTAATTTTCTTTTCAATGATTGTCATATGTATTTACTGTTTGAAACACACAATAAGTGTGCAGTTGTAAACCCAAATTAAAAAATAATGTTATTAGAAATCTAAATAGTATGTCATAATAATGAAAAACTAACAACAAAAATCATAAATATATTAACATACACAAAATCGAAACAACTAATATTAAGACTAGGGAATTTAAGTCACAGTTAGTTTTAACATCCTCACAAAATTAGAAAAGCTTGAATTAAAAAATTCTAGACTATCAGCACAAGCATTAGTGCTTCGTGAAACTCTAGGCATGAATAATTTCAGGCCAGTATCAGTTCTCATGTAGGGCTGATGAAAACTGTTTATTGATCTTGTGCTTCTAGTTGGGGCTGCCAACAACATGCATGAAATCAATGTAGGGCAGTCAACCATATAATTACATAATTAATGAGCTTAAAAAATAATTTCAGATCTGACTGATCTCTTCTTATTCTCAAAGTTGGTAAGAAGAATAATATCTCTTGAAGTGCCGTAAAATCATAGGAATAGTCATCTATCCGTGGAATATTTGATTTAAATGTTAAATAGCGAAGAAATTTTCTCTGAACCTGTTCTATGAGTGTGACAAGTATACTGGGGGTTCCAGACTGAAGAGCAATTTTCTAGCAGAGGCCTAACAAGACTACAGTACAATAACCTGATAGCATTAATACTTGTAAAGTCTGATGTGTTTCTCTTTATAAACCCAAGCATACCAAGTGCTCTGGGTACTATATTGTGTCAATGTGATTGACAAATGATAATAACACCCAGATGTGTGCAACTTAGAACACTGGTGTACCCTTGATAATATATTGATAATCAATTCTGTTGATCTTCCTAGTAAAGGATATCTAGTAAGATTTAGTGATGTTTAGGTCCATAGCATTACTTGCACACCACTCATCATTCCTAGAGAGATCAGACTGAAGTTTGTGACAATCCTCAAGAGATGAAACTGCTAGGTAGCACTTTAGGTCATTAGCAATGCATAAAAATTTGGAAAACTTGAAACATTCTGAGATATCATTTATAAATAATAAAAATAACAAAGGGACTGCAGATGGATTGGGAATGTTTTTAGATCTGTAATTATTAAATTTAACAGCTTGGAATCTTTCAGATAAATAACTCGCCAGCCATTGCAATAATATTCCCATGATCCCAGCAGTCTCCAGTTTATTTAACAAAACTTTGTGATTGACCCTGTCGAACGCCTTGGAAAAGTCTGTGTACATGGCATACACCTCACCACCTCCATCCAAGGCATCCGACAGATAGTCAACAAAAGCAAGTAAATTCAGTTCTGTAGATTTTTTGTTAAGAAACCCAAATTGTTCTTCTATTATTAATAAACTTAATTTAGATCTTAAGTAATCAGCTACTATCTTTTCAAACAACTTTGGAATGGAACGAAGATTACTGATGGGTCTATAGTTAGATATATGTGCTCTGTTACCAGACTTGAAAATTGGTGTAAGTACTTTCCAGAAATCAGGGAATATGCCCGAAGCAAGAGACTTATTAAATATAATGTGAAGTGGCCGCGAGAGAACAAAACTACAAAATCTGAGAACAAGGGGGGATACCATCAGGTCCTGAACCCTTGGTAATTTCAATACTAGCCATCTCTTCATAAATGGTTGATATAGGAATAACATACTCAGATATAGAAATGTGATTAAGTGACGGTTTACTTTGAGGTTCAATATTCTTATCAGTATAAATACTGATTGGAAATATTCTGCAAAAAGATCATGTAAATCTGGTCCCAAATGACATTGACTATTATTAAAGAATAGCAATAGTGGTAAATCATTCCCGTTTAGCTTACTCTTAACAAAATTTCAAAACTGTTTTGTTTCTATGGTCTGTTAAAGACGACTCAGAATTTAGAATAAACTGTTGATAGCATCTTTTTGATAAAGTTTTACAATCAGAACGTAATTTACTTTAACATAATCGCATTGTAATCCTGAACTTTTAAATTTTTTGTGAGCTTGTTTTTTCAATATTGTCAGCTGCTTTAACTCTGGGGAGAACCATAATGGAAATTATCTTCTGGATGTTTTTTTCTGTGGAATTATAGCATGGATAAAAAAAAAGAGAAATCAAAAAATATTAACCATATCATTCGCTGAGTGATTTAATAATAAAAGTCATCCCAATTTACCTGACCTAAACATAATCACAATCATTTGCAGTCACCTGAACTCAAAACAACATCCTGTAGGACGTAGGATATATCAAATTAAAAATTATTCATATTCAAAAAGCAGAAAACATTTACAATGAATAGGTTGGTATGTAATTTTTCGGTCAACAATCCTAAATTTCAATGAAAATCTAAATTTTTGAATAAATTTAAAATGAAATAGAAAAATTCATTTTTGATGTCAACTTGGGACATATCTTTTTGAAGTTAATTTAGTGAAGAATACATCATAGTTATGGCAATATCCAAGTTCTTATGTGACAGTCAATAGTTATTAATGAACTCACATTTGTGATGGGAGTCAATATGTCATTAATGATACACCGTATTTCGAATTAACTTGTTGTCGTTCTTTTAAATATGTTTTAACTGTGCTAAATCAGTTCCTTGATTCCTATAAATTAAGGTGACAATACGTACAGCATATATCAAAGTCTGGCCAGCATTATTTGATCTTGTACAACAAAAGACCATGTTTGTTCAGCAAAATGCTGTATTTTTTGTTCAGCATGGTAATACATAATTTAGTGAAACATAATAAGACAAATCAAAATGGGGAACTAAAAAAAGGGCTTTTGATCATCTACATGACTTCTCTGTTTTTTGTATCTATCTTTGAGGAACTAAAAAAAGGTTCCAAAGTTTATTAGTGTTTTAACAAAAAAAAAAAAAAAAAAAAATGGCAAACTTATAGATTCTATTTTTTTAATCATTATTAATCGATCAATATGGTTTCAGAAGCTCTTCTCGAATCCAAGAAGAAAACTGGTAGTATACAGTTTTGATATAACTATACAACCGTTTTCGTAGAAATTATTTAGTTTGTCATATTTTCGAAGGGTTATCTTGTATATTACATACGGAAAATAATAACTAGAATGAAGTTATCCAATGCTTGGCATTCTATATTATACACTTAGCAGTTTAATAGACCCTCGTCCTTTAACTCCCATTTCTAATCAGTTTTTTTTCAGATTCAATAGGATTTAAAGAGCTCGATTTTTACTAAAAATTACATGTTGATATCGCTTTTGATGTTTGATTTCTATTTTTTTTATTTCAACCTCCCTTAACCCCCCATTTTGTTCACAATTTTTTTTTAAATCAGTAGGCTTTGTCCCCTTATAGAGCTTGATTTTAGCTAAAAATTTTAAGTTGATATTTTTTTTTCTGGTGTGTCATCGGCTTCAACTACCAGGGTTATTTCGCCTCGTGTTCTGTGTAGGCTTTGTTACTGTTTCCCAGCGCCACTTTAGGAACAGCACTGTTAATTAGAACCCAACAGTGAATGGTCGAGTGAGGAATCCTACCAAGGCATCAGAATTAATTTTAAATAATTAAAAAATGAAAAAATTCCGGCCAACGGTGGAATTCGAACCCGGGACCCTTGGATCTAAGTTGATATTATTTTTCGTTTTTGATTTAGGATTTTTTTAAATATTTCAACCCCTTGATTTTTTTCTGAAGATTTCAATTTGATATCGTTTTTTGTTTCTGAGTTAGATTTTTTTTCAATAGTTTAACCCCCTTAGCCCCCCATTTATTCAGATTTTTTTTTTCAGGATCAATAGGCTTCATTCCCGTGTAGAGCTTGATTTTTACTAAACATTTCATGTTGATATCGCTTTTCGTTTTTGATTTAAGATTTTTTTTTATATGTCAACCCATCTTAACCCCCCATTTTTATTAATATTTTTTTTTCAATTGATTTTTCCTGAAATGTTTAAATTGATATCGTTTTTGACGTATCGTGCAGACAAAAAACGTGACATCGAACGGACAGACGGAACTAATGCATAAAAGTACTGTATGAAGAAAATAATAATAACTTGAATGAAGACATATATAATACTTGGCATTCAATATGATACTCTTCACAGTTAAACAAACTCCTTTTTAACCCCTCATTTTTATTAAGATTTTATTTCAGAATCAATAGGCTTCAACCCCCTAATAGAGCTTGATTTTTACTAAAAATTTTATGTTATAATAATTGCTTTTCGATTTCTGATTTTTTTAATTCCTCTATTTTTAATCAATTTTTTTTAAATCATTAGGCTTCGTCCCCTTCTATAACTTGATTTTTCAAAATTGTTTTTAATTTATGATTTTTTTTTAAATTTAACCCCCTTAAACCGCCATTTATAATCACATTTTTAAAAAATCAACAAGCTTCGACTCATTGTAAAGCTTAATTTTTCCTGAAAAGTTGATATTGTTTTTAATTTTTGTTTTATGATTTTTGAAAGTTTTAGCCCCCCTTAACCCCTCCATTTTTATTTAGATTTTTTCAAAATCAAAATCTCAGAGATTGCTTTTTTCTGAAAATTTTAAGTTCATATCATTTTTCGTTTTTGATTTATCGTGCAGGCAAAAAATGTGACATTGACGGACGGACATTTTTAAAAATTGTTTAAAATTTGATGAGAAGGATTTTGGTGCAAAAATTTTTAATTTTGGATGTATATTAAAAATTTTGTTTTCTTGAAGGTAAACCTATAATACTCTTTCACAGACTGTGTGTGAAGAGTATAATATAAATAGACGTCCCTACCATGCAGCACAAGCGTGCTTCTCGGGTTCGTAAGAGGGTGAAAAGGGAGAATTATTATTTTCGTTGGGTCATCCTGTATACGAAAAGAAAGCTAAAATCCCAATTTTTCTTTAAAGGTGTTTTTTTTATTCAAATATATTCTACAATATATTCAGTGTAAAATATCATATACCTTTTTTAATAGTTGGATACCAAAGTAGATGACGTGTACCTACCTATTATATTCATTCCTATTTCCTATTGTTTGTCTCTAAATAGTATGAAATTACCTACGCCCTCTATTTACTAATTTTAAAGATGGTCGAGTATTGTATTAAGTCCACCTATTGCGTAACGTAAAAAAATAGGTATAAGTTTGTCAGACATCTCCTTGTTTGTATTGAATACGAAATTGTTTTGATCAAACTTGATGACCTCACTTTTACACGCTAAAGTCATCCATATATGGCGGTGATATCAGTCGCGGTGCGAAACCTTATTAATTTATTTGAAATAACGTGACTCAGATAGATACACGATATTATTGTACTATGTATATATACATGTTCGTTCCATATGGAAGGATTTTAACAAACAACTAAGAGGAGTTTCATTGTTTTTTGGTTTTATCGATTTTTAATTATGTTAGGTAGTTATTATACCTAACCTACCTATATTTATAGCCATGAATAAAAAAATGCCTATTAAATCATCATTTAAGAAGAATACTTATTTAATGCATATAATTAAAGGTTTAATGATACCTTAAACCTTTCTTAAAGCAAACAACTGACTTTTGGTATATAAGTTTAGATTTGTATAAAAGACACATATATACAGACAGAAACTATCATTCATCAATCATTTATTTGATCATCCTTTATAAAACGTAGTTATATATTACTTACCTATACCTACACAGGAAAAACCATCTCTATAGAGGGAACGAAGCTTATTGATTTTGAAAAAATCTGAATACAAATGGGGGTTAAGGGGGGAAGAAATATTAAAAAATAACCTAACTCAAAAACGAACATTGATATCAACTTGAAACTTTTAGCAAAAATCACACTTTGTAAGTGGGAGAAGCCCTTTGATTTTGAAAAAATCTGAATACAAATGGGGGTTAAGGGGGTTAAAATAAAAAAAAAAAAATATAAATCAAAAACGAAAAGCGATATCAACATGAAATGTTTAGTAAAAATCAAGATTTTGTGCTCGTACTCTAAAATGACTTAAAATATATGTTAATAAAAATGTACCTGATTTTTTTTACTACTTAACAACTTCATGGATAATCGATAATACAAGACAATAATTGTAAATGAAGTTGTAGAAAGTTAAAAAAAAATCTTGAACAAATATGGTGTTCGAGTATTTTCTAGGACCCCCTGTAGTTACGCGCCTGATTTCTGGGTATTCATTTTATGACAATTCGCCCACTTACCAATAAAATTTGACGTATTTTTTAGTTTTCTAAAATTTACATAAAACAAAGTTATTTCGACTGCATGGTTTTGAAATGAAAATTATATATCTACTCTATAGAGGTGTAGGTACATATACCTAGGTATATGTTTATTATGTGACTATAAAAAAATTGGTCATACCTACCTCTAGTCATTAGGCATTGCAAAATCACTCGGAAAATTGGGTTTTAGGTAGGAACCAGTACCTATAAGTACATCCAGACAGCACAAATAGGTCCATTGGACGTCCATTCGATATACAATTTTAGATATCTGGACGTCCAAAAATAAGTTTTTTTTCTGGACTACCGATATCCAATGGACGTGTCCAGTGAAGTATACAAAATGGTCCACATTTGATCATTCTGGATTATATTTGGACGTTGAATACTGGACATTCAAAAAAACGTTCTTCCTGGATAATTTCATTGAGACCACAACCCCATTTTTTTAACACAACCGCAACTCACCACATACGTACTATTTTATATTATTAATAATTTTTTTAATTATTTTCGTAACCCGCTTTACACAATTTCTTTTTTATTAATAATCGCTTGACCTGATGTGCGAGGATCGAACTCACGACACGTCCGTTAACGTTCTATTCTTTTCAAACGCTAGACGATCTTGATCAAAGTACCGCTTTTAAACTTTTTACTAGATATGGTTATAATAGAATAAGATTTAAATACTTGACGTCAAAATACTACTAAACTTAAAATTAAGTCCAAAAATAGACGTTCTCTAGATATCGATATACAGCTGTCAAATTAATAGTCATAAACACTTTGGATGCCCGAATACTGATGTGGACATGCCCCCGCCTGGCTTTTAAGAATTAATCAACAACGTGTAAGATAATTTTATGCATTACTGATATTTCGTTAAGATAGGTACTCTATAGGTTTTTTAAGCCTCGTTACATCCCAAAAATATGAAAAATAATACTTTTCACCACCGTTCAGAAAATGAAAATAGTGGACAAATTTGAAATCGACAATTTTGAAGCTAAATATTAAACGTGGATATAGAGCTAACTGGACTTCGAAAGAGCTTCCTGCTCACAATGAGCTCTCCATTTATGATATAGCGTCCAATAACATTATGAATATTATCTATGCATACAAAAGGCTTTAAAAATATATAACTATGCCTCTTCCATTATGACGGGGTCAGTCGAAAGAACATATTAAAACCTGGCTGCGGCCTATATTGAATGACAATAGCTGACTGGGCTATGCATAATGAGCGTACATCGAAACATGTTTCGCAGAAAATAAAAAAAAATATATTATGTCTTCTCTTATCGATAGTTTTGGTAGAGAAAAAAGATAGGTATTTAATATTTGCGTTTTCCTAAAGTATTTTTTTTGTGTTCGTGGACGTGTGAATTTTTATGTTTTCGTGTTTCTAAAAATATTTAATTTTTTATTATTATAGGTATATGGCTGTGTCTGCTTGTTCCTATTTTTCTTTGATATCACATCTTGTTTGTTTTTTAAAAATATGAGTTTTAAAGTTTCTTGTTTTTTTAATTTTAGTTTCTGTCTTTTCTTGTTGGGTTATTTTCTTTATTAAAGAGATAATTTTGTTATTTTGTATTGCTCCCTTATTTTTCGTTTCCTTTCATTTCCAACAAATAAACAAAATTTTGCCCCTGCGCCTATAGAATTGTGTAACGACGCTAATGACGTTACGTGTGCTGTCATAGGTAGATATACCTATATTTACAGTTTACCTACAAAAGGGCAATAAAAGTTAATATAGGTACCTTTGGGTGGTGTTCTGTGATGTGATTACCTTTATACCTACCTGCATAAAATACCTTATAGGTAGACATTTCAAACAGTGATAAGATTTTTTTCTAAGTAGGTATCTACCCAGACAGCACACCAAATCCTTTGGATATCTACTGAACATCCCAATATCCACTGAATGTCCACTCCATGGTGGATATCTATTTTATATCCATGAAATGTAATTTATAGACATACAAATGTCCATAAATAATAGTAATTATATAGCAAATTATTAAAAAATTACGCCATTGTGCTCGCCATTGTGGCTAATAGTACCGTTCAGATATTTAAAATTAATTTTTTTAAGGTGTATTCAATATCCCATGGACATCCACTATAAATATAAATATATCAAAGTCTAAGCGCGGACGCAAACCATCGTGGATATCTACTAGATGTAATTTTTGATTTTGCTTCCTAAGTATAGATGGCGATACCACTTTCGTATCTACTCATGCTCAACCCGCCGTAAATGAGTTCGATCGAATTTTTTTTTTCACAATCAGACTCTATTAGAGACTGGAGTCGAGAATTTCCATTTATTGCTGAAGAGTCCTAATAAAGATGACTTTCTCCTAAGTGCCCTTATAGTGGGCAAAATCAAAGGCAGATTGTTGGAAATATTTTTTGTCTCTATTTTCTTTCGATGTTATTCAATAATCATTGGTTACTTATGAACCCTCTACTAAAGATACCTATAAAATATTTTGCTGGATATCTGAATTCTATATCCATATTGGATATCCACAAAATATATTCTGTGGATATCTCTGGGATTTCTTGTATTGTCTGGAAGATACTCATTAGATATTTTGCTGAATATCCATAGGATATCTTCTATATTCTGGATATAGACGGACATTTGGATATCCATATTAGATCCACGGAATATTTCTGATATCCTGTGGATATATTGGATATCCACAAAAGATATACTGTGGATATCTCTGGGATTTGGTGTGTTGTCTGGGTAGGTATCTACCACAGTATTTTAGAAACATTTGCATTAAATAGGTAGATATTTTTACCCGCATTTATGACTGAAAAACATGCTACATCTGGGTGAAACTAAATCTGGTAAAAGCTTTCTTTTCTTCTGCGATACTCATTCTAAAAATACACCTACCTACTCTTCTGCACGCAAGAATAATCCACCAACGTGTTCATGACCCTAAAGAATTCGTCATACCAGAATGATTCTATTTTACAATAAATCCGATTTACGTGCAGGTTTTATGCAAAAATTACTGTACCTAAAGAAAATATATGATAAAAACTACATATTTTTGAGGAAATTCAAATTCAATTGCAGGTGCAATGACTCAAATTTGATTCGCTGAATTTATCGAAATTCGATAATTCAAATCGCCTCTGTATAGAGGAACAGAGATAGAAAATAACGACCGTTACGTTCACATGACGACCGACGACCAATCAGCGCGCAGAGACTTAGGCGTTGGCACGGAGATAGACCGTGACGTCAGAGTTCATATAAATACAAACGACGTCGTCAAAAAACCTCAAGTTCGTTTGGAAAGCTGCATTACTAGCTAATCTGAACGTCTCTCTTGTTGAATTTTAATTCATTTGTGGTGTTAAAACTTTGAAAACCTATTCAAAATGGTAAGTAGATTAATCCAAATAAAAATGCAGTGTTTTAATTGCAATTTTTGTTAGTGCAATCGTATTATTTTAATCTTGAGGTGTGGTACACGACGTGGCCCGGCCATTTTGTATACCGGCATTTCCAGACAACATTTTTTTCTTTATAATTCCGTTATAATTTTAGTTTTTGTAGTTTAAAATAATTATTTATGTTGAATATTGGTTGGTTTTGAAATAAACCGTACCCAATATTACCCAGCGACTTAAAATTTTATGAGTGGGATCATTTAAAAGCTGTACATAAATACCTATTTTTTTATAAATGACGTTACTATGCCTACGTGATCATTTTATCTACTTCTTAGAAATTATATGGCCTCATTTATTTTATTTCAAATGCAGTAGTTAAGATTATTTGATGAAATAAGTATCCATAAGCGCAGACTTTAATTTTTCTTTGGGGTCCTGTAAAAAATGATTATTAACGTCTTTCAACGTTAATTTGGGAAGATTAATTTAAATTTTCTTTTTGTATAATTTCGCCTCTCTTATAAACCAAATACATACGTATCAAATTTGAATATTTATTGCCTTATAATCTGGAATCTGGGGCGATATTTAAATATGTGAATTCAATGTAATAGGTATACCTATTTTAATTAGATTAATATATTGATTATGGAACAAGTTTGGTGCATAAGGTAATAGGATTTTCTGAAATTTGTAACTGTTTTCAGTTTTCATGTCCTGGGCGTAGTCGGGGGTGGGGGGCGTATATTACAGGGTGCCCACTTTTAAAATAATTCAAATTTTTTGATAAAATATTTTTGGAGTTTTAGATATAAACCATCATAGTTCGGATGTGAAACTGACATCTAATTTGTGGTACATTTACAATAGACCTGATTTTCAATGATTTTGTAAAAAAACTCCACCACCATCCCCTAGAGGAAGAGAAGGGGCGACATCCTTAAAAAATCAAATTAGAACTTTTGAAATCTACGATTTTTTCTATAAAAAATTTTTTTTCAAAAATATTTTAATTTTGAGTATGTATGTAATGTATAAAAAAATTGTCGAATTACAACAGATTCATTTGAAAAATTCTAACCTAATATTTTAGGGATGCCACCCCCTACATCTACCTCTAAGCCACTCTAGGGGATGGTGGTAAGTGTATAAAACAAAATCGTAGATTTCAACTGATTCATTTAAATAGTTCTATCTTAATTTTTTAAGCATCAACCCCCCTCTCATCCTCTAGGGGATGGTGGTTGAAAGAGTTATACAAAAACTTTGAAAATCAGGTCTATTGTAAATGTGCCAAACATTAATTTTTCCCATCTGTAATTGAATCGATGAGTTTTGAAAACTGTACATGTCCAAAATCAGCCTTCCGAGAAAAACAATAAAAACCTTTTAATAAGTCAGGAATATGTATAGTTTTTCGCCTAATTTTACGGGTGTAATCAGCTGTACTACGTTAATGGATAGGTATCTAGTACGCTTTTTAAGCTCAATGAAGAGACAAATTTTAAACAAAATGGCGATCTTACTTTAAAATGTAAAATTTTGGACTTTTATGGTTTTCGAACTCACTGATTCAATTATTTTTAAATGCTAGTTCCACATTCGAACTATGGCAGTCCAAAAATGTTTGTGCAAAATTTTTATCAAAAAATTTGAATTTTTTTATATTTTTGGGATAATACATCTGTATACCAAGTTTGGTCTTAATATCTCGACCTGAACTGCCCTAGCCCCAAGAGCTGAACACCAACCCCTACATAGTTAGTACTAAATCTTGTACGATGGGGTGGAACCCTTTATGCATGAGTTCGACTGGCACTTTGCTGATTTTATTTGAATGTTTGTGTCAAACTTTACACACAAGACAAAAGTGGGAGCATTTTGTAAATTTTGAGGACATACATACCTACCGCTGAGAATATTCCTATTTGATTCTAGGTAACAAACTCTAGTTATTTAATAATGAAATTTTGGACATGAACTTGAGGATTAAAAATTTGTAATGAGTTATAAAAGGCAAATATCCTATACTAGGCGAAACCAAAGTCTTGGGCCTCTAAGTATATATCAGTTATATTTTACAAGTACACTGATTCAATTTTTATGATATCCCTTGTACCTAACTATTTATAATAATTATCCAGTATTAAATTTGAGTTTAGATACAGTAATATTCTGATTAGTTTGTTAAAATCAGAAATGATATGGCATCATTGGCGTTCTGTATAGAGGGGAAGACAATGGATGCATTTTCAAAATAAAGCTGTATCTGAAATAGGAGTTAAAAGTTTTTGAAATAAATTCAAATGGCTAGTTTTTTATTTCTCCTGTAAAACAGCTGCAATTATGGATATCAAATATGATTGTCAAAATCTGTATTATGGGTGTTCAATTAATAATGGGACATAGACCAACTGAAAATTAATTAAAAATAAGTCTACTAAATAAAACATGCTAAGGTAATGTTATTTGTTTCCAAAATACAGGATGTTGAGATTAAAAAAAAAAAAAATATTCCCTATAATTTTACTAAATTGGGCAACGTTTTTGGTGTCATACACATATCTGCAAAAAAAAAATTAGTTAAATAAACTTTACTAATGGCGTATGGTATGGGTAAGTAACATCTTCATCCTTTCTAAATTTTGCGACACTCCAAAAACTTGTATATTTAAATTTTTTTGACGTTTTTTACATAAAATATGTACTCTTGTTGGAAACTGATTGGTTTTTAAGATATTCGCATACAACGGTGGATTTTCTTTATTTTAATTATTAGAATTTATTTAGAATTTTGAAATTTTGATTATTTTATCAAAAGTTCTACATGGTTATTAAAAAAAAAAATCTAAAATTTTTTGACAGTGGCATATAATTTTGTGAGGATGAAGCTGTTGTTTTACCATGCCATACACCACTGACAAAGTTCATTTAACATATTTTTTTGTTGATAGGTGTATCTGATGATATCAAAAATGTACGAATTTTCACCCTATACTTTGGAAACTAGTAACATTTTACCTAATTATGTTTTGTTTATTCGCTTTATTTTTAATCACAGAATCTTCAGTTGTTCATGTCCCATTCTTAATATAACATCCTGTATATATCCATCTAATCCTGCGGCGATCCTGCTTTCAATTTGTTCACCTACTCTAATATATCCTGCCATGTGCCACTGCTAAGTATTGTCTGGTGAAATTTTTCCTTAAAAATCCAGAAATTTATTTGGTCACAAAAATTACTATGCCTGCACCTGTCAGGTAATGCTGTAGTCCAAGTCCAGTCTATACAAGTGTTACACCCACTGCTCAAGTAAGACTATTTGGGACATTATTTTGAGAGAAAACTACTTGCTTAGATTTTCCAACTAAGTTTCTCAAATATTCTTAATAGATTTCAACATCCAATCTTTTAACTCACCTCAACAAACGACCACTTCTTTCCCTAAATATATCTATATTTTAATCAAACTACTTTTTTGTGGAGACTGATATTTCAAGAAGTGTTGAAGTTAAATATAATGAATATTTTGCAACGTGGGAGTTCCAAGTATTATGTAAACAAACTTTCAATGATTTTACAACCCCACCCTTGGACTCTCTCCTCAAATGATAAGACGAGAAATTTTCAAAAGTATGATAAAATCTTAAAGAAAGTCTAGTACTTATATACATCTTTCTTTAAGCCACTCTTGAGATTAAATTACTTGCATTTTTTGCCTTTTATGTAGTTTAGATAGAATTGATTTTTATTGTAAATTTTTTTTCCAGCGTGAATGTATCTCAGTCCATGTTGGCCAAGCCGGAGTCCAGATCGGTAATGCCTGTTGGGAATTGTACTGCCTGGAACATGGCATCCAACCCGATGGTCAGATGCCATCAGACAAAACTGTAGGTGGTGGAGACGACAGTTTCAACACATTCTTCAGTGAAACTGGCGCCGGAAAGCACGTACCAAGGGCAGTATTCGTAGACTTGGAACCCACCGTCGTTGATGAAGTCAGAACCGGTACCTACAGACAATTGTTCCACCCAGAACAACTTATCACAGGCAAAGAAGACGCCGCCAACAACTACGCCAGAGGTCACTACACAATTGGTAAAGAAATAGTCGACTTGGTTTTGGACAGGATTCGTAAATTGGCTGATCAATGTACTGGTCTCCAAGGTTTCTTGATCTTCCACTCTTTCGGTGGTGGTACTGGTTCTGGATTCACATCTTTGTTGATGGAACGTTTGTCTGTTGACTACGGAAAGAAATCAAAATTGGAATTCGCTATTTACCCAGCTCCTCAAGTATCCACAGCAGTAGTAGAACCATACAACTCTATCCTGACCACCCACACCACTCTTGAACACTCCGACTGTGCCTTCATGGTTGATAATGAAGCCATCTACGACATTTGCAGACGTAACTTGGACATCGAGCGCCCGACCTACACCAACTTGAACAGACTTATCGGCCAAATTGTATCTTCAATAACTGCTTCTCTAAGGTTCGATGGTGCTCTCAACGTCGATTTGACAGAATTCCAAACTAACTTGGTCCCTTACCCTCGTATCCATTTCCCTCTGGTCACCTATGCCCCTGTCATTTCCGCAGAAAAGGCTTACCATGAACAGTTATCTGTTGCTGAAATCACCAACGCCTGCTTTGAACCAGCCAACCAGATGGTTAAATGCGATCCCAGACATGGAAAATACATGGCTTGTTGTATGTTGTACAGAGGGGATGTCGTACCAAAGGACGTCAATGCTGCTATTGCCACCATCAAGACCAAGCGTACCATCCAGTTCGTAGATTGGTGTCCCACTGGTTTCAAGGTTGGTATCAACTACCAACCACCCACTGTAGTACCAGGAGGAGATTTGGCTAAGGTACAACGTGCCGTATGCATGTTGTCCAACACCACTGCTATAGCTGAAGCTTGGGCCAGGCTCGACCACAAGTTTGATCTGATGTACGCCAAGAGAGCCTTTGTGCATTGGTATGTAGGTGAAGGTATGGAAGAAGGTGAGTTCTCTGAGGCTCGTGAAGATTTGGCCGCTTTGGAGAAGGATTATGAAGAGGTTGGTATGGATTCTGGAGAAGGCGAGGGTGAAGGAGCAGAGGAATATTAAAGATAACGATTTGATTATTTCAAAATTCCACATTTTTTATACTTTTTTCGATACTTTTCTCTGAAACGATAATTCAAGTCTGATTTATTTAATACAGTTTTTTTTTACCTGCATTTTTGTGTTTTATTTTTGGGATTGAGACGAAGTTTTTTTGAGTGCCCTAAACTAAAATTAAAGTGAATTCGTTAAAATGTTTTCAAAATTTTATACTTTTTCATCAGTAAGAAAGCAATTTTTTTTTAATTTCGAAATTTTATTTCTTGCCATTTTTCGATTAAACATAAATGATATTTTTAGAATTGGATCTTAGTTTTATAAAAAAAAGAAAGGTAAGTAAATATTTTAATTGGATAAATCACTAAAATTAATAGCTTAGTTGTGTAAAAAAAGGTAAATATTTAAAAAAATATTTCAATTGCTGCATATCTATAAAAAAAGTAACATTTAAAATGTTCTACTAGATAGTGAGAGACATATTAGACAATTATTGATAAAAAAATATACAATTCATATGTTGCATAATTAGAGAATCAAAAAAAAAATGTTTTCACTTATTCTTTGCCGTTTTTATTTTTAACTTTGGAAGTTATTGTTTATAACATAAAATTCATTTAGTAAATAAACAATTTGGAAGTCTGCAGTGCAAGAAGGCGATAAGTGACTTCAAAATTAAGACGTTCTACAAGCTTCTGCAGGGCATACGTTTTCGTTTGGTGTAGGAACGAGACTTCAAAAAAAGATGTTATCAATTCGTCAAAATGTTTTTTTTTTATATATACAGTAGGGTGGCCCAAAAAAAGTCTCGTGAAAATATGTTAGTTTATCATGTTTTAAGAACCCCCTCCAAAGGACAGCTCAGAAAAAAAATTAAAGGGTCGCTCCGAATTTTTAATATTGAAAGGTCACTCCGAATTTTTCTAAGGTTCCAAGTCGGGTACTTTATATCTTCTCGAGCTACTTTTGAACATGAACAAAAAATATAAAGTTCCTTAATATTCATGTTCAAAAGTAGCTCGAAAAGATATAAAGTACTCGACTTGAAACTTTAGAAAAAAAACGGAGCGACCTTTCAATATTAAAATTTTGACTTGAAATTTTCAGGATCTTTATGATTTTTCTTATAGAAAAAAATGAAATAATGAGAAAAAAATTAAAACAAAAAAAAATCCGGTTTTCGACGATTGTTGAATTTTTTAAAAATTCGGAGCGACCCTTTAAAAAATTTTTTTGAGCGGTCCTTTGAAGGGGACTCTTAAAACATGATAAACTAACATATAGGAGACAAATAAAAAAAATATTCGTTTTTTTTTGGGCCACCCTAATATGCAGCGATAATTTACTACATTGTCCGATTTTTATGAATGAATCTTTTTTTGTTTGAAAGGGGGCACCTAAGGGGTGGTCCTATACAAATTTGGTCAAGATCTAATAACGGGTCCATTTTTATGTATTTTCAGCGATAATTCTTTACCACGTGCGATCTAAGATTCTTTTTGTTAGAAAGGGCATATCCCTGGGGTAGTTCCGTATAGAATAATTTGGTCAGGATTTGATGATCTATGAGAAAATTAAAATTCTTAATTTTTTAAGGGCATTGTACTATTTAAGTTTATTTTTAAATTACTTTTTTTAACTTCAAAAATTTGGTGCAAGGCCCTAATTGCAAATTTTTACGTTTTTTCTCATATACCACGGTTTTTTTCTTGTGCATCTCCTGAACTTTTTAAATACGTAGGTATGCGCAGGATATATCGATTTTTCGATCGATACATCGATGATTTCTTTTTCGATGTTAGGCGTTACACATTAGTAATCTATGGGCGTTACGTTTCAATCGATAGTCCAAATTCCAAATACCTTTTTTTGCATTTCAATGAATGGCTTTGAAAAACATCGATGTTTAGAGAAACGAAAATCGATGTTTAGAAAAATAGATATTTTCTTTTCCGATTTTTTACAATATCGATAGTGTGTATTCGATGCATCATTTGATGTCAACATCGATGATTTAAATGGCACATCCCTATCCCCTTGCACCAAATTCGATAATTTATAGTATGAAAATATCCCCTCTTGCACTGGCTCTGAATTGTGAGCATACACTTGAAAATTTGAAAAAAGGTCATGTGGCACCTTATTTAAAAGGGATTTTAATTATCTATTCAGCAATATAGTTTTTTAAATTTTGGTGCAATTTTAACAGAAAATGAATTTTGAAAATGTTAAATTTTAATGTCTTGATCACAAACTTTACGTAGAATAAAGCAACGAATGTTACATAATATTTACAGTGTATTTTTCATTTTTCAAGCAAAGAGAAAATATTTAATTCTTTGGTAATTTATAGTCATTATAAGTTACTTATAAGTTACTTTTTATCTGGAATGGTAAAGCAAAGCGAAAAGCTCAAGATAAAAAAACAACACCTTTCATAATTCACGTTGCTTACGAGTATACCATATTATAACATATTTTTTTTAGAATTGTAAAATATGATGACAGACTGAGAGGACACCCTTACAAATGGAACATTTAAATGCAATGCTGGAAAATTCTTTTTATGTAATAGAATATTAATTTCACACGTGGAATATCTTACCAACCAGTTATTTTTTCAAGGGCTTAATTATAATTGGCAAGTATCTCTGGACTCATAAGTTTTGTAGACCTGTCCTTATTGTATTTATAATAATAATTTTGATAACTCGGAATAGTAAATGTATATCACATAACCACTTCCTGTTCCTGGGTCATTAGGTAAATCATTTTAGTATTGATAAATAGGTAACTATTTTAATTTATATTACTTCTAGAGATTATGCATTTTTATAAAGCAGAAAACTATGCCTCAATAAAACCAAAGAAGGATATTCAGGAATACATTTCTGCACCCCTAAAGGTGAAAACAATGTCAAGATTAAAAATACTCAGGGTGTTCATTTCAATTTTTTTTTGGTTTATTCCTGATTTTCCTACAATTTTTTTTATTTCACATCTTGTCTCAATAACTAATAATAAAGTTATTAAACAGTTTCAAATGCCCGTATTTTCCTTCTATATAAACGGAATTTTTAATTGAAATATCTACTAGAAAATTTCTATAACATAATTTAACTAAGAGGGATTATAAAAAAACACTTATTTTGGGTTAAAACTAATCCAGTCTAAAATTCTTAGGTCATTGACACGGAAGCTATTTATAATTTACAAATGTTAGAAGACGAAAGGTTAAAAAATCAGACGTACACCTATCTATAGTTGTACCTATAAGTTTACAAATAAAAAATGTTGATTCCAAATAGATTGTTAATTTATGAAAACAAAGCTGTTAACACTTCATAGAAAATTATGAAACAATATTTTTAGAAAGAGGATAATTTCCTATCCGTATTATGAAATCGGTTAATTATATCTTTATTAATTTAGCACTACATATTATGTTTCGGAATAAATAATTCACTCTTCTGTTGCAGACACAATTTGTTAAAATTTAAAAAACGTTGAGGGACGTAATAAACACTTTAAAATTTATATGAACAAAACCCATCTTTTTGTTTCTGATAGTGGGTGGTTCCTCAATATTTTTTAAATTTTAATAAATTGCGACTGCACTAGAAGATGGAATTTATTCCGAATCCGAAACATATGTACCTCGTGCTTCGCCTAGTACTAAAACATCAATTAATAAAAATTTAATTGACCGATCGTAACCAGACGTTTTATTTGTTTATAACAACTATGAAGACTAGGGCAATGATCAAATTTCAAATATCAAAATAATGTGAAAAAAATACCTGAGTGACATATGAGTGACAAAATAACATTAAAGCAAGATTTACTTCGTTCCAGATTGTAAAACATGATACTAATCAGATGTAAAACTAAATAAAACACAAGACGAAATCAATTCAATGTCTTTTTAAAGCTTCTAATGTAAGTAAAATACCTAATGTATTTATGTCTAAATATAATATTTATTGTAAAATAGTCACAATAACACGTATCACGGAGTGTAGTTTATTTTATTAAAAGTTTCTATAAAATAAAATTTTACAGTCATAGACAACAATAATTATACATTAAATTTAACTTACTAGAAAAGACAATTTGTTTTTTTTTATAGAGTTTTAATGTTATATAAAGAGTTGCTACTGTAATTTTTTTGTTGAACCCCAATTTTGTCATTCTAAATGTTTTCTATATGATCCTAAACGCTTAGTGGCAGCATACAGTGAGAATCATAAGTCTTACCCCCTCTAACTAACTCCTTACTGGAGTCTTGTAAGGAAAATCGCTGAGACACGTCGATTTTTGATTTCTACAATGTATATTTTTGTATGAATAGTTTACCCTTAATTTCATCCCTTACTGGAGGGGAGCAACCCTTTCGACAAAATTAAATGGCATGGGGCGGTGAGTGATAGCTCATTTGAAAGGGGGTTTCATTCTCTTTTCAACCGTGCAAAAAATTTTGAAATTTGCTTCATTTCGTGTTGATTTATTAATGTTTAAAAATAACAAAACATCACAAATAGGAAAGCAACTTAACTAACAGTGACCTTATCTAATGGCAAAAGTCTTCACGTCTGAACCAAAACCGATATCATGCAGGACCAAATTTTAATTCTAACGCTACGTTAATTTCTGTTATTCTGAAACAATAATTAGTCGAGAATTAATGAAGCAAATTTCAAAAATTTTTGCACGGTTGAATAGAGAATAAAACCCCTTTTCAAATGAGCTATAACTCACCACCCCATGCCATTTAAATTTTTTAAAAAGGTTGTTCCCCTCCAGTAAGGGATGAAATTAAGGGTAAACTATTCATACAAAAATGTACATTGTAGAAATCAAAAATCGACGTGTCTCGGCGATTTTCCTAACAAGACTCCAGTAACGAGTTAGATAAGACTTATGATGCTCACTGTATATCGTTCCTAGGGCTGATAAAACACTTTCTAAAGATGATGGTGTTCTACACTTTTTAATAGATATTTCCAAATATTATCAGACTCTCTTACTGATGATACTGTTAGCAAAATAAAAAGGGGAAAGCCGAAATTAAGGTATGTAGATACATACCCAAATGTCCTTTTATGCTTGTATAATAATA